GGGTGGGGGAAAGCCAAGCTGGTGCACAAACATCCGGTCTATCAGCACACATTTCCACGTATTTCTCGTGGAAATGAATGCTGATAGGCCGGATGTTTGTGTACCAGCAATCATCCATCTTGGCTTTCCCACACCCAACTTGAATAACCTTATTAATTGCACACCACATTTTTCGTCCTTTGTGTTAAAATAGATTAAACCACTTGCTTGTGGGAAATAATTTTTTATTGTTTTTAAGGATATTGTATTTTTTTCAGTTGGTAATCGAATACAATTTTTTCCATCTTTAATCTTAATCAAATTCATTTTTATTCAAAAATATTAAACGGACTTGCCCGGATGAAATTATACTTGAAATGAAAAGCACTGATGAAATAGATAGCAACAGGATCCAACGGAATTGTCATATTTGTGAATGACCCTTCAAAAAATCCACTTGCCACAAGTTGGACGGACTTCGTGCCACTTGTGGTACGAAACACCGCCACTTGCGTCCGAGACGCTCGTGTGCCGTACAGGCTTCCGTATCTGACATAGGAACACTGCATACATTATGGTGGTGTATAGGTGCTTCCGTACGACGCAGTTGTGCTTAGGCCTTAACTACGGAAGCCTGTACGGCTCACGAGCGTCTCGGACGCAAGTGGCGGTGTTTCGTACCACAAGTGGCACGAAGTCCGTCCAACTTGTGGCAAGTTCGTTAGTTCGTGCCACTTGTTGGACAGGCTCCGTGCCACTTGTGGAAAGTGGATTTTTTGAAGGGTCATTCCAAGAAGACTAGAACCAGGAGGTGAAACTTCCACGCTTTACCGCAGTGAGTAGTGGCATGGTAAACGTGCACACGGTGGGCGTGTCGTTTAAGTTCGTGCACTGCTAATAGAACGAATTTACGAATTCTGCGCATACTAACCTTGTAGGTTTTGAAGGGGAAATTTCGTAGCAACACGCGTAGTAATAGTAATCTTATGACGTGTCAAATTTTGACAATTCTTTTTCTTATTTTTGCCAAAGTTGTATAATTGTGTTTCCAAATTTCGGAATAAGTTTCTTTAAAATTCCAAATTCGAAAATTCAATTCACAAAGCTGAAGTACACAACGTTTACCAACGAAATTCTTTTTAAAGTTGTATATTGATTCAAAAATTGTACAAAAAATGTATGATGAGAAAAAAGATGCGCCAGGAAATTTCGTATAAGATAGTAATTTGAAAAACATTTATTTTTAAAAATTAATTTTTAAGGTACCAGGGGCCAACGAATACCTATTAAATATTAATTATAAAAACACAGGCCTCGAATCAACTTAAAGACACAAAAAAGTCGTTTTAGTCGATTTATATTCCAAAAAAAAGTGGATTTGTTTTATATTTTAACAAAAATATTTTACAGATTTTTAAATAAAAATTTTTTTTTTTTTAATAATAATCCTTTTCGAAGGGTTAAAATTGAAATTTTTAGAAATAATTAAATTTCAAAGATATTGTTAATTTTCAAACAATTATTAAATTTTCCAGAACTGAAAATAATTTATCAAACAATTTTTGGAAAACATTTTTTAAATTTAATTGAATTTTCAAAGATTTAAAATTGAGATTTTTGATAATAATTTAATTGAAGTTCATTTTTGATTGAAAATTTGGATAATTAATTTAGAATAGAAATTTTAGAAAATAATTGAACTTTATTTCATTTTAAATTGAAAACTTGGTAAATAATTAAATTTTAATTGAAATTTTGGATAATAATTTAATTTAAGTTCATTTTTGATTGAAAATTTGGTTAATTAATTTTGAATAGAAATTTTAGAAAATAATTGAATTTTATTTCATTTTAAATTGAAAACTTGGTAAATAATTAAATTTTAAATTGAAAATTTTTGATAATTATTGGATTTTTAATTGATTTTGAATTAAAATTTTGGGTAATAATTGAATTTTAGTTTATTTTGAGTTGAAATTTTTGAAAAATAATTAAATTTTATTGTGATATTTTTTTTTTAAAATTATAAACAATTGTATAAACAATAATTTTGATATAATTGAATTTGTGATGTATTTCATTAAAATTATTAAAAATAATTAATGTAGTGAAGAATCATTTTAGTTTAAAATTTGTTAAATAATTTAATTGAAAAAGATATGATGAAGATCTACATTTTATACTAGAAAAATGTATTTTATTTACATTTTTTTTCATATGTAAAAAAAATGTCACATTTTATTAAAAGAAGTCGATAAAAGTCTTATTTTTGAAAAAAGTCAGAAAAAGTCGTATAATCCGAGGCTTGTAAACATATAATTTTCATTATTATCATTTAATATGTAATAATATTCTAATAAATTAAATTATTATTGATAATATTAATCTTTAATTTCTCTATAACAAACAATTAAACACTCAATTTGGCGCGCTTGCGCGCGTTTATTTTTGCTAGTTAAATATAATTAATTAAATATAATCGCATCAAAAAATTTATGGGTAAACCATTTGCCATAACCGCATAAACAGAAACTTAAAAACAGCGTCTGCTACATTTCAAATATCAGTGTCAAGAAAGTATGCGCAGAACACTCAAATTCGTCTGAATAGCAAAGCACGAACGATAAGCCACGCCTTCTAGTGGCTTGTTTTTCACGCCGCATCTTTACAACGGAGTTTCCCCTCCTGGTTCTAGTCTTCTTGGGTCATTCACAAATATGACAATTCCGTTGAATCCTGTTACTATCTATTTTGTCAGTGCTTTTCATTTCAATTTCATGTGAAGAAGAAGAAATGAATTTTATAAGATATTAGTAATATTAGCATATTAGTAAATGTCATCGAACAAACTTTTTATAGTTCACACATAAATACTCCTTCCAAACGTAAATATACATATTAATAAACTACGGATTCCACTAAGAATTAAGCGGAAGTTTTTTCTTAGTTTTTTTAATTTTTCTTAGTTTAGAATAAAAATAAGATTTTTTGGTTATGTTGTCATTTTTTAATTTAAAATGCCCGTGAAGTTAGCACCACAACTTAATGAAAATCAATTTTTTTTTATTTTAAACGTTTGTTGGTCGTTTGATAGTGTTTGATAGTTGATATTTAACGTTTGATAGTAATAATTAGAAAAAATAAACATAAATCAAATTTTGGTGTGCTATTTTCACAGTGCACCCCAAATTCAAAAAAATACTAATTTTTCATTTGTAAACGTTTGTTGGTTGTTTGATAGAGATTGATAGTCAATTCTGAACGTTTGATAGTTGAAATAATAATAAATATAAACATTATCAAAAACATCTATCCATGTCGCATCCCTCCATATGCGCATGCGCAAAACATACTTTCGCGGCATTTTCAAAAAACAGAAACAAATTTTCATCTTCGATTTTAGAAACAAAATGTAATACTTCAAATTTTTATTCATATATCATACAATTAAATACTCTCCTTTCAAAAATTGAACAAATTGAATAATTGTCAAATTTTAATTCCAATCGTTTGTAGGCAGTTTAATATTGATTAATGGTAGACTAATATCGTTTGATAGTGATTGATAGTTCATTATTTTCGTTTGATAGAGATTTAAAATTGACTAAAATCATTTGATAGTAATTGATAGTTGATTATTTTCCTTTGATAGTGATTTATAATTGATAATTAAAGTTCAATAGAGATTTATAATTGACTAAAATCGTTTGATAGTGATTGATAGTTGATTCTTATTGTTTGATAGCGACTAAAATCGTTTGATAGTGATTGATAGTTAATTATTATCGTTTGATAGTGAATAATAATTGACTGAAATCGTTTGATAGTTAATTATTATTGGCTAATATCTTTTGATAGTGATTTACAGTTGGCATAAATCGTTTGATAGTGAATAATAATTGGCTGAAATCGTTTGATAGTGATTGATAGTTGGCTAACATCGTTTGATAGTGATTGAAAGTTGATTATTTTTCTTTGATAGTGATTTATAATTGACTAAAATCGTTTAATATCGATTGATAGTTGATTATTATCGTTTGATAGTGATCTATAATTGACTAAAATCGTTTGTTAGTGAATAATAATTGGCTGAAATCGTTTGATAGTTAATTATTATTGGCTAATATCGTTTGATAGTGATTTATAGTTAATTATTGTCGTTTAATAGTGACTTATAATTGACTAAAATCGTTTGATAGTGAATAATAATTGGCTGAAATCGTTTGATAGTGATTTATAATTGACTAAAATCATTTGATAGTGAATAATAATTGGCTGAAATCGTTTGATAGTGATTGATAGTTGGCTAAAATCTTTTGATATCGATTGATAGTTGATTATTATCGTTTGATAGTGATCTATAATTGACTAAAATCGTTTGTTAGTGAATAATAATTGGCTGAAATCGTTTGATAGTTAATTATTATTGGCTAATATCGTTTGATAGTGATTTATAGTTAATTATTGTCGTTTAATAGTGACTTATAATTGACTAAAATCGTTTGATAGTGAATAATAATTGGCTGAAATCGTTTGATAGTGATTTATAATTGACTAAAATCATTTGATAGTGAATAATAATTGGCTGAAATCGTTTGATAGTGATTGATAGTTGGCTAAAATCTTTTGATATCGATTGATAGTTGATTATTATCGTTTGATAGTGATCTATAATTAAATGATTGAACGAACTTACCTTAAGTGATGTTCAATCGCAATTGTATAAGCCGCCTCGTCCGAATAGATCAAATACGTAGTCACGTAGTACTGATTGTTCCGCCACAGTAATTTTAAAAACAAGAGTTTTTCGCGCCGCCTATAGGTGTCGTGCTTCGTGCTGCTTGCTGAACTGCCATTATATTTTAAAGTTGAACAAAATCGCTTAGGGGTTAATGAATTGGTTTACCTGTTTATTCTTTTTGGGTTGGGTGGGTGTGATTAATTCGGACGAGGCGGCTTATACAATTGCGATTGAACATCACTAAGGTAAGTTCGTTCAATCATTTAATTGTATTACGCCGCCTCGTCCTTCTAGATCAAATACGTAGATGTTTAAAGCGTGGAGCGATTTTGTGTTATTATATTTATTATAGCAACAATATCATTCAACGAGTGATGAACAAAAGTTTAGTTTATTGGAAGAAAAACTTATAGTGCTTGAGAGAAATAAGACATTAGGAATAGAAAAATAAAAAATTCAAGGGTAATATAATTTTTCAGTTTTGAATGACGGCTGCTGCGAACGATTCTGACTGTATTAACGGACGATTGTAAAATCTTCCAAATACTGAAGAATTAGCGGTCCATCCCGCTGCTTTCCTTATAATTTCAATATTAATCCCACGTCTTGCTGCGGCTGATGTCGATGCGTGCCTAGTGCTGTAGGCTGTGAAGATGTCGGTATTGATACCACTCTTATTGAGTGTATCTTTGATCCATCGACTTATGCTTGCTGTTGTCGCGGCCTGGTGGGGTTTTTTATATGTGAGCAAGAGGTAACCCTTGGTTTTGTCGCCTTTTCTTATTTTTTCCGTTTTTTGTATATAAGTGCGAAGTACTCCTGCTGCACACAATTCCGGTTGATTTTCAAACGAGGGTATTTCAAGGAGCGGTTGGTATCTCGTTCTGCCTGTTGTCTTCAGTCGGTCTGTAATTTTGATTTGGATAGGTTCTCTCTCTAGATTAATATTTTCTAAACGGATCGCCTTCAATGTTTGGATTCTTTGAGCCGTGATGAGAGATAGAAGAGTCGTTAACTTCATGGTCAACTTTTCCAAGGTTAAGGTATCGTTTGGATACAAGGTTGACAAATATTGAAGAACAAGTTGAGGGTCCCAGGTCGCATCGTACCTAGACTGTGATGGTTTGGTCGTGTGTACGCCTTTAAAAAATCTAGTGATGCTGGGATCTTTGCCGATTTTATTGTCCATTAGCAGAGATACTGCTGATCGGTAAACGTTCAGCGTACTATATGAGCGAGTGGTTCTCGCAGTCTCAGTGAAGAATTGTAAGGCAGCTGGAGTTGAGTCGCAAAAAATGTCGAGATTATTTCTTTGGCAGAATTCCCACCAAAGTTTGATGGGTTTGCTATATTGTTGTATAGTCTTTGGTGACAGGGAATTTAACATCATTTCAGCGGCCTCCTGAGATGCTCCTTTTTTCATGAACGCTTCCCGGATAAGAGTATCGCTACCAGGGAAAGCGATTGGTGAAGCGGGTGCGTTTTCCTGTGAGGAGAAGATAAAAGACTTTTATTAGGTTTGAAAACAATGGATTTTTCGACAGCTAGTGACATTAGAAGTGGGTACCAGGGTTGAGTAGGCCAATCAGGCACCACCACAACACCTTCTGCTTTATCAATTTGAATTTTTTGTACAACTCTTAGTAATAGTGCAAAAGGAGGGAAAGCGTAGAAAAAGTGACAACCCCATTTCATGGTGAATGCGTCTATGGTAACGGAATCGGGGTCTCTTAGCCATGATACGTATTTTTTGCATTTAGCGTTAACGCTTGATGCGAATAAATCAATTTCAAATGTTCCAAATCTTTTTTCAATTTTTTTGAATGCCCAGTCAGCCAATTCCCACTCAGTCTCTTGAGGGAGGGTTCTGGATAATTCGTCAGCGTCCTTATTTTCTTTGGATGGAATGTACGAAGAAAATATCCATAGATTTCTAACTTCGCACCATTCCCAAATCTCGCGGGCAAGTTGTGTTAATCGGGGGTACTGTATTCCTCCCATTCTATTTACGTATGCTATGGATGTCGTGTTATCCATGCGTAGAAGGATCTCACAATTATTGTTTTGTTTAGCAAAACACTTCAGGCCCATAAATGCTGCTTTTAATTCCAGTGCATTTATGTGAAGTTTCTGCTCTTCGATGCTCCACAGTCCCCTAGCTTTCTCACCCTCACAGAAAGCTCCCCAGCCAGTCAAGGATGCGTCGCTAAAAATCTCTTTGGTAAATTTAAATTCGCGAATTGGGTGAGACGATTTCTTTGCTTTGTGCGCCCACCATTCTAGGTCTGACTGTATTAAATTAGAAAGAGTTATTCGAGCATTGTAATTATTGTTTGAATTATCTAATGCTAAGTATTTTTCACGCTCTAACCTCTTCGTATACAGCCAACCGTATTGAACTGCGGGACACGCAGCAACTAAAACGCCAATCAATTGTGCCAATTCCTGTATTTTACAAACTTTGTTTATTACAAATCTGTTAACTAACTGAGAGATAGACTTCCGTTTTTTTTCAGTTAGTTCTAAGCAAAAATTTTTACTGTCGATAACCACTCCTAAAAAAATACAAGTTTGTGATGGAATTAACTGACTTTTACTTTCGCTGATTATAAAGCCAAGTGATTCCAGCAAAGTTCGAACTATGAAAATATTTTGCCTGCATTCGGCTTCGGTTTTAGCAATAATTAATACGTCGTCTAAGTATATGACTAGAATGATACCTTGGCTTCTTAGTTTTTGCACTACCGGTTTGAGGAGTTTAGTGAACACAAACGGTGCAGTGCAAAGACCAAAAGGCAAACATTTAAATTCGTAATCGACATTTCGAAATGAGAAACGGAGGAATTTTTGATGTTCGTTTGTAATAGGGACCATGAGATAAGCATCCTTCAAATCCATTACAGCCATGAAGGAGCCTTGGTTTATAAGCCGTAAGGCAGTTTTCATGTCTTCGATTTTAAAGTGGGAGGTCGTTATAAACTTGTTTAATTTTTTTAAATTAAGAATGAAGCGATCCTCGCCACTAGATTTTTCTCTTAAAAAATGTGATGACAAAAATTCTCCCTTACATGGCTTGCAAGGAGCCACCGCACTTATTTTTTGGAGTTGAAGGATAGCCTGAGCTGTCCTTGCATTTTCCTCAATCGAGAGTTCAGGCTCTGATGGACGTTGTGTTTGAGTGGGTATGTCGTCAAAGGGTATTTTGTAACCTTTAACGCATTCAAGAATTGATCGGTCGGTTGTCACTTTCCCCCACTCTTTACTAAAAAATCGCAGGCGACCTGCGGTTTTACTTACCACTAATTCTTCCCTCGTCTCGATGTCTGGCTCCGACTGCTGCGATATCCCTGGCCCCCCCTCTTCAAGCTCGAGTATGATTTTTTGGAGGGGCCCCTCCAGTTTAAATTTTTTGATGACGAATATCCGGCAGCCTTGTCCCTGTTCTGATGACTGGCCCTTGTTGAAGTCTGTGATGCTGGATTTTTCGAAATTTCTTTTGTTGATTTTTCAACTTCTTTGGCAGATTTTAATTTTTCTGCAAAATTTTCGCCGAACAACGATGTGTCGACGTTCGATTCTTCAGCAATCTTTTTTAGTATTAAACTGAAGGAAGGTATTATAAAACTCCTGCGAGTTATTGACAGGTCGTGTTGCAAGTCGGTCATAATTTTACCTGCGTCGCAAAGAGTAGTAAAAATCAAGGCCAAAGTACCTGAATTTAGTTCCTTCTCGCCTTTATTTGCATCTAAAATTTGATGAAGTACATTTCCGAGAGCACTGATGGAAGCACTGAGTTTATTTTGAGCTAATACTTGATATGTATCTTTTTTCAGTGCGGTAGTACTCATTCCGGTTTTTATTTCCGCATTTAATCGAGGCGCACCCATCATTTGGCAATTTTCTGCGATAGGATATTTTTTAATTAGGTCTTTAATGCTTTCCTTGGGCAAACCGACTTTCAAAATTTTTGACCACATTTCCGCAATTGAATTGTGGATTGGTGCACTAAATTGAATTTCCTCTTGCGCGCCCTCTCCTAACAATTTTAGAAAGCTGTCTTCGTTTGTTACCGACTCAGCCCCGGCGTCGCTTGGGTTAACCTTTTTTGTCGCATTTTCAGGTGTTTTTGATATGGACCTAGATCGAGTTTTTTTAGAACGTGACACGTCTCTCGGATCGTGCTCATTGTTCTCACCATTTCCAGTTTTCTTGTGTAGCGTTCCTCGCGGGAGACGCTTTTCACTAATATTTCTGGAATGTCTGAATTCACGGTCGCGGTCTTGTTGATCACGACTCAGACTCCTTTCGCCTCTGACATTTGACGTGTCTCTCGGACCACGTTCATTGCGAGGACTTCGAGATAGGCTTCGGGAAAAACTTCGGGAAGGGCTTCTAGTTACCTTTTCAGTGTTGCGACTGCTGTTTGACGCTGAGCTGGAGGTAGATGCCGAGGATGACGTACTGCTTTCACGATATCGATGAGAACGCTTCAATTTTTTCATCTTTTTTTCGAGTTTTTTCATTTTTTGTCGAAATACTTTCGATGAAGAATGCTTCCTCTTTTTGCGGCGATGTTCCTGACGGTCTCTTGGTGAACTTTTCTCTGATGAAGATGACATTATCGTTTTCGTTATTTTAACGCGATGATGCGCGGAACGCACAGAACAACATAATGGCAGTTCAGCAAGCAGCACGAAGCACGACACCTATAGGCGGCGCGAAAAACTCTTGTTTTTAAAATTACTGTGGCGGAACAATCAGTACTACGTGACTACGTATTTGATCTAGAAGGACGAGGCGGCGTAATACAATTGACTAAAATCGTTTGTTAGTGAATGATAATTGGCTGAAATCGTTTGATAGTTAATTATTATTGGCTAATATCGTTTGATAGTGATTTATAGTTAATTATTGTCGTTTAATAGTGACTTATAATTGACTAAAATCGTTTGATAGTGAATAATAATTGGCTGAAATCGTTTGATAGTTAATTATTATTGGCTAATATCGTTTGATAGTGATTTATAGTTAATTATTGTCGTTTAATAGTGACTTATAATTGACTAAAATCGTTTGATAGTGAATAATAATTGGCTGAAATCGTTTGATAGTGATTTATAATTGACTAAAATCATTTGATAGTGAATAATAATTGGCTGAAATCGTTTGATAGTGATTGATAGTTGGCTAAAATCGTTTGATATCGATTGATAGTTGATTATTCTCGTTTGATAGTGATCTATAATTGACTAGAATCGTTTGTTAGTGAATAATAATTGGCTGAAATCGTTTGATAGTTAATTATTATTGGCTAATATCGTTTGATAGTGATTGATAGTTGATTATTATCGTTTGATAGTGATTTACAATTGACTAAAATCGTTTAATAGTGATTGATAGTTGATTATTATTGATTGATAATGATTTATAATTAATTATTATAGTTTGATAGTGATTTACAATTTACTTAAATCGTTTGATAGTGATTAATAGTTAATTATTTTCGTTTGAATGTGATATACAATAGACTAGAATCGTTTGATAATGATTGATAGTTGATTTTTAACGCTTGATAGTGATGTATAATTGACTAGAATAGTTTGATAGTCTTTGATAGTTAAGATTCAAGGTTTGATAGAAATAATTAGTAAAAATATTTTACACACAAAAATTGTGTGTCATTTTCACAAAGCACCCCAATTTCAATAAATTATTGATTTTCCTTTTACAATCGTTTGTTAGACGATTGATAGCAATTGATAGTATATTTTAAACGTTTGATAGTCCAAATTAAATTAGATATTAAGGTACGCTCTCACCTTTTGCTTGCATGCACGCATGCAGAAGTTGTTAATTATAGATCACTATCAAACGATAATAATCAACTATCAATCGATATCAAAAGATTTTAGCCAACTATCAATCACTATCAAACGATTTTAGCCAATTATTATTCACTATCAAATGATTTTAGTCAATTATAAGTCACTATTAAACGACAATAATTAACTATAAATCACTATCAAACGATATTAGCCAATAATAATTAACTATCTAACGATTTCAGCCAATTATTATTCACTATCAAACGATTTTAGTCAATTATAAGTCACTATTAAACGACAATAATTAACTATAAATCACTATCAAACGATATTAGCCAATAATAATTAACTATCTAACGATTTCAGCCAATTATTATTCACTATCAAACGATTTTAGTCAATTATAAGTCACTATTAAACGACAATAATTAACTATAAATCACTATCAAACGATATTAGCCAATAATAATTAACTATCAAACGATTTCAGCCAATTATTATTCACTAACAAACGATTTTAGTCAATTATAGATCACTATCAAACGATAATAATCAACTATCAATCGATATCAAAAGATTTTAGCCAACTATCAATCACTATCAAACGATTTCAGCCAATTATTATTCACTATCAAACGATTTTAGTCAATTATAAGTCACTATTAAACGACAATAATTAACTATAAATCACTATCAAACGATATTAGCCAATAATAATTAACTATCAAACGATTTCAGCCAATTATTATTCACTATCAAACGATTTCAGCCAATTATTATTCACTATCAAATGATTTTAGTCAATTATAAATCACTATCAAACGATTTCAGCCAATTATTATTCACTATCAAACGATTTTAGTCAATTATAAGTCACTATTAAACGACAATAATTAACTATAAATTACTATCAAACGATATTAGCCAATAATAATTAACTATCAAACGATTTCAGCCAATTATTATTCACTATCAAACGATTTTAGTCAATTATAAGTCACTATTAAACGACAATAATTAACTATAAATCACTATCAAACGATATTAGCCAATAATAATTAACTATCAAACGATTTCAGCCAATTATTATTCACTATCAAACGATTTTAGTCAATTATAAGTCACTATTAAACGACAATAATTAACTATAAATCACTATCAAACGATATTAGCCAATAATAATTAACTATCAAACGATTTCAGCCAATTATTATTCACTAACAAACGATTTTAGTCAATTATAGATCACTATCAAACGATAATAATCAACTATCAATCGATATCAAAAGATTTTAGCCAACTATCAATCACTATCAAACGATTTCAGCCAATTATTATTCACTATCAAATGATTTTAGTCAATTATAAATCACTATCAAACGATTTCAGCCAATTATTATTCACTATCAAACGATTTTAGTCAATTATAAGTCACTATTAAACGACAATAATTAACTATAAATCACTATCAAACGATATTAGCCAATAATAATTAACTATCAAACGATTTCAGCCAATTATTATTCACTATCAAACGATTTTAGTCAATTATAAGTCACTATTAAACGACAATAATTAACTATAAATCACTATCAAACGATATTAGCCAATAATAATTAACTATCAAACGATTTCAGCCAATTATTATTCACTATCAAACGATTTTAGTCAATTATAAGTCACTATTAAACGACAATAATTAACTATAAATCACTATCAAACGATATTAGCCAATAATAATTAACTATCAAACGATTTCAGCCAATTATTATTCACTATCAAACGATTTTAGTCAATTATAAGTCACTATTAAACGACAATAATTAACTATAAATCACTATCAAACGATATTAGCCAATAATAATTAACTATCAAACGATTTCAGCCAATTATTATTCACTAACAAACGATTTTAGTCAATTATAGATCACTATCAAACGATAATAATCACTATCAATCGATATCAAAAGATTTTAGCCAACTATCAATCACTATCAAATGATTTCAGCCAATTATTATTCACTATCAAATGGTTTTAGTCAATTATAAATCACTATCAAACGATTTCAGCCAATTATTATTCACTATCAAACGATTTTAGTCAATTATAAGTCACTATTAAACGACAATAATTAACTATAAATCACTATCAAACGATATTAGCCAATAATAATTAACTATCAAACGATTTCAGCCAATTATTATTCACTATCAAACGATTTTAGTCAATTATAAGTCACTATTAAACGACAATAATTAACTATAAATCACTATCAAACGATATTAGCCAATAATAATTAACTATTAAACGATTTCAGCCAATTATTATTCACTATCAAACGATTTTAGTCAATTATAAGTCACTATTAAACGACAATAATTAACTATAAATCACTATCAAACGATATTAGCCAATAATAATTAACTATCAAACGATTTCAGCCAATTATTATTCACTATCAAACGATTTTAGTCAATTATAGATCACTATCAAACGATAATAATCAACTATCAATCGATATCAAACGATTTTAGTCAATTATAAATCACTATCAAAGGAAAATAATCAACTATCAATCACTATCAAACGATGTTAGCCAACTATCAATCACTATCAAACGATTTCAGCCAATTATTATTCACTATCAAACGATTTTAGTCAATTATAAGTCACTATTAAACGACAATAATTAACTATAAATCACTATCAAACGATATTAGCCAATAATAATTAACTATCAAACGATTTCAGCCAATTATTATTCACTATCAAACGATTTTAGTCAATTATAAGTCACTATTAAACGACAATAATTAACTATAAATCACTATCAAACGATATTAGCCAATAATAATTAACTATCAAACGATTTCAGCCAATTATTATTCACTATCAAACGATTTTAGTCAATTATAAGTCACTATTAAACGACAATAATTAACTATAAATCACTATCAAACGATATTAGCCAATAATAATTAACTATCAAACGATTTCAGCCAATTATTATTCACTATCAAACGATTTCAGCCAATTATTATTCACTATCAAATGATTTTAGTCAATTATAAATCACTATCAAACGATTTCAGCCAATTATTATTCACTAACAAACGATTTTAGTCAATTATAGATCACTATCAAACGATAATAATCAACTATCAATCGATATCAAACGATTTTAGTCAATTATAAATCACTATCAAAGGAAAATAATCAACTATCAATCACTATCAAACGATGTTAGCCAACTATCAATCACTATCAAACGATTTCAGCCAATTATTATTCACTATCAAACGATTTATGCCAACTGTAAATCACTATCAAAAGATATTAGCCAATAATAATTAACTATCAAACGATTTCAGTCAATTATTATTCACTATCAAACGATAATAATTAACTATCAATCACTATCAAACGATTTTAGTCGCTATCAAACAATAAGAATCAACTATCAATCACTATCAAACGATTTTAGTCAATTATAAATCTCTATTGAACTATAATTATCAATTATAAATCACTATCAAAGGAAAATAATCAACTATCAATTACTATCAAATGATTTTAGTCAATTTTAAATCTCTATCAAACGAAAATAATGAACTATCAATCACTATCAAACGATATTAGTCTACCATTAATCAATATTAAACTGCCTACAAACGATTGGAATTAAAATTTGACAATTATTCAATTTGTTCAATTTTTGAAAGGAGAGTATTTAATTGTATGATATATGAATAAAAATTTGAAGTATTACATTTTGTTTCTAAAATCGAAGATGAAAATTTGTTTCTGT